AGTTTGACAGCTTCCACTTCACGAATCTGACGTAACAGTATTGACAAATCGTTAAATCCTCTTAAAATTAACGTCCTTCGAACGTCACATTTTTACCTCTTTATTTGCCGGAGGTTCGCTTTGTTTATTCGCTTCCGTCGATCCTTCTGGGTTGCTAGATACCTGATAAAATGTGTAGAATGTACGCGTAAAAGCACAGATCTAGATGTTTCGACACCGATCAGGTAACCAGGATAATATACAGAACCTTCACCGTCTTTCCTGGTTTTTTCTCGGATCGCGCGATGATTTGAATGTTCGTGCGACCTTTGTCCGGTTTTCCTCCGCCGTTTCCATCTCCGCCGTCTGTAAAACTGGTTGTAGGTCCCGGTGCAGGACCTTGAGATCCGGAACTCGAGACACCGACTCCGTGAGAGCCTGTTGTAGCACCGGCGTAGAGTTCTCCCGAAGCTAGAGATCCAGATCTTCCGCTTCCGTCTAAGAAACCGCCTAATCCGGCCGCTGCCGTGTGTCTTCCCTGTCCGAGACCTGCCCTCGCGTAGAGATTTCCACCTGTTGATTCGTTTGTTTACAATTTTTCGCTGCGATACTTGTGGGGATTAATGCAGAGGCTGATGGATAAATATCGAGTTGACGCTAATGAAAGTTCCAATTGGCAGGTTTATACTGTGTATTAAACTTTTAGTTTATTTTTTAAGCGTACCATATTTACTTCACTTTAATTTTTAAGAGTAATATATTTATTTCAATTTAATTTTTAAGAGTAATAGTTGAGGAGTTTGCTGTAGTACATGTGTGTCGGATAGTGAAAAAGGTTGTGATATAATTGTTTGGATATTACTATTTGACGTGACGAATAATCGGGATGTGCGAGTTGTTTTTTTGCCGAAGTGTAAACTTGACAAATTTGTGGTACAAGGTGCTGAAAATGAAAACTTAGCATTTGAAGGAGTATATGTAAATTTTGGGAGACTTGAACGTTGGTGTGCAAAGTTAGAATCGGTGAGTTTTTATTGGAAAATGAACCAAGAGGAAGATTATTGAAAATAATTCACGGTAAAGAATAGGAAATTTTGTAATATCCTCCCTTATTCACTAGACTTTGCTTCAATAGTCTACTATTTCTTTGGACACCTGAGCAATTTTTTTTTTTTAATAAATAAATCATTTTGAAATGAAGACACTGTAAAAGTAGTACTCAAAGGGTAATGATTTTTGTAAATTTGTAATAATGAAACTAGTTAACCGTTTCGAAAAGTGAAATGATTTCGACGAAGTACACTATATTTTTAAAAATAATCTTTCATACGCACCGACTTAATGTAACAAGAATTGACCTATATAAATGGAAACGTTAGATCAATTTGCATGATATCCAACGCGTTTCCAACGTGTATTTAGCTAAAGTATAGAGTGCACGAAGAATAAACGAGGACTTTACTATGTAATGTAACAGAAAAAAGATTCCTCGAGAAGCATTAGCGCAGTTAATCGCTCATTCGTCCTATAAAAAGAAGGAAAACAAGTGCTGCCAAGATGGAATTGTACCAAGTAAAATTTGCACTGAAAGACTTCACCGTGATCTATCATACTGTCACAGGTAACAAGATTCTTTAAGAGACATCAGTTCAAATAATCGCTCGCTCGTCCTATAAAAAAATGAAAAAAGAATAGCGCTGAGCTGGAATTGTACCAACTATTATAGAATTTGCATTGAAAGGCTTCACCGAGATCTATCATTATGTCACAAATGAAAGGATAAGAAAGATTCTTTAAGAGATATTAATTCAAACAATCGCTACTCTTTCTACAAAAAAGGAGGGAAAAATGGTGCCTTCAAGATGGAATTGTACCAACTATTATAGTATTTCCATTGAAAGACTCCACTGTGATCATTCATAATGTCAGAAATCAAAAGATTCCCCAAGAGACGTTACTTCAATTAATCGCTCGCGCATCCTATGAAAAAAAAATGACAAAATAATGGCGCCAAGGTGGAATTGCACCAACCAGCATTTGCATTGAAGAAATTCACCGTGAACCGTCATAATTTTACAAATAAAAGGATTAAAAGGATACTTTAACAGATATTAATTCAAATAATCACTCGCTCGTCGTATAAAAAAAAAAATGACAAAATAATGGCGCCAAGGTGGAATTGCACCAACCAGCATTTGCATTGAAGAAATTCACTGTGAACCGTCATAATTTCACAAGTAAAAGGATTAAAAGGATACTTTAACAGATATTAATTCAAATAATCACTCGCTCATCGTATAAAAAAAAAAATGACAAAATAATGGCGCCAAGGTGGAATTGTACTGAAATTTGTACTGAAAGATCACTGTGATCTATCATAGTGTTACAAATAAAAAGAGTCCCCAAGAGACATCACTTCCATTAGTCACTCTCTCATCGCATAAAAAAAAATGGAAAAAATAGCGACGCCAAGATGGAATTGTACCAACCAGCGTTTGCATTGTCACCGCTGAGCAAACCACCCAGCCCAGCAGCCGCATGGGCGCCCCATGGCGTCCCTGCGCTAGCATGAAGTCCACCACCAGTTCTCGATCCACCTAAAAGACCACCTAACCCAGCTTCCGCGTGATATCCACCAAAATTGAATCTGACCCCACCATTTGTGAACTGGAACAACGGAGCCTGCGAAAAAGGATACACAGGAAAACACAAATTTCAAAAAATCGATAAAAAGGGATACATCCTCGCGGGGGAATTTTTCGCTGTTATCGTTCGATCATTTTCGGTGAATGTTGAGTGGGGAAACGGATGGTTAAATGCACCCGTTATCTCGACTCAATACTGTTCAGCTATTTAGCAATTGTTAACGAGCTAATAATTTTCGAACTGTTCGGCGTATACTCTCCTATCGCGCTCATTTCTCATGACCGTCGATAAATCGTCACGATTTCCTCCAAGTGTATCACGCAAAACCGGTAAACGGTGTACGAAATTAACGAAGAGGAGCGAATTACCATTTTGAAAATTGCATTCCCGTGTTCGTTTAACCTTCCGCGATGAAATTTAACCTCGATTTTCGGTCACCGGAACCGCTATCGACGAGTTTTAATCGTTTTTACGACTTCTCCAAGAGCATATAACCATAGACCTCGCGCTTCCGCAATCCTTTCTCTGTTCGTTGTTACGTTCGTCGGTTACCTAATGCTATTCCCCGATCGCTCCTTCCAATCTCTTTTCCGATACATTTGCTGGCACGCTTGACGTATTGTCACTTGTTCATTACGGTAATAATCGTGGACGCGAGAATCGAGGAGGTAAGGTGTAATTAGCGCTCACGTTGCACTCGAGGAAATTAGAAAGTGAGAAATATTAGAAACCGGGAGGTGTTTAACGCTATCTAGAACTATCGTGCAACAAGGACGAACTCGTAGAAGCCGGATTTTTGGAATTTTGAGTATATAAATTACGCCAGTTGTCGATCAACCCTCGCTTTCGTACCGTTAAAATTCTCAGAACTCGACGAATTGCCGTCTCATTTCTATCAGATCACGATTAAAAGAAAAATGTGTCTTCGAACGAATTAGAAAAACTCACTGCACTCGCTGGATCCTGGTTACCGATCGACTGTGGCATTCCGTTCACAAGAACCAAGAAACAAAGCACAAACAACGAGAGAACTTCACGACACAGCATCTTTCCTACGACTGAATCGCGCCACCGTTTGCCCCGAGCATTTACTACCGATTTCTAAAAAGACCTCCAAGACATCTCTCGCTCACCTTCACCACGGGAAGGGATAAGGTTCTGACGTAGCCTTAAGAAGAACTTGCCGATCCAGTCGCCGTATGCTTCGTGACTGTCCGCGTATTGTCGTTTTATGCGACGAATGTCCACTTTGATTGTAAATGTATTATGATTGCAGGGGTCAAGGACGATCTGCTTGCCGGTGAGCAAGAGGTGGACACGCTCGTTTTTCCACGCTCATTGTTAGACCGTTTTGTTTAGACAATGGTTATTGTTAGAGCTGAGGATAGATATTAGAGAGCCAAAATGGGAATCACACCTGCGACTTTCGGATGGCGGAAGATGAGGAAGCTCTGTATTTTTTCTTGTACTTGCAGAGGTAGTTTGGTATGGATTTAGATTTGGAGAGGATAGAGGAAGTTGTAGGTTCGAGGGTGAAGGGTTTTTAAGGGTTTGAAGTGTGGGAAGGATAAGGTTGAAATTTTGGGTGTTACGGAACACTGATTGTTGTTTTGGATTAGTTGGCTTCCTCGAAGGTGGACAGACTTTTCTTTTATTTGTTCTGGCTAGAGACTGAGATGAAACGCGTTGATACGCAAAAGTTTCGTTTGGTTGCGAAAATTGCGAGTCCAGTGAAGTCGAGAGTCCATATTTTCGGCGAAGTCGAATGCATTGTAAATTTAAAAATTTGAAACTTTGGAAAATTATATATTTGAAAATTGAAGTATTTGTAAATTTGAAAATTGAAATATGTAAATATATGAATATTAGAAAAATGAACTACTTAAAACTTTAAACGTTGGAAAATGAAACGCGTTCGTAAGCAAAGGTCTCGTCTCACCGGAAAACCCACGAGTCGGCATCGCCAAAAGCCTCGCAAACCGGTATACAGTAAACGATAAAATTGCATAAAGATAATTTATTTTTGGAACAGGCAGAATGTGTATCAGTGGTATTTCCATTAACAAGTCAGTTAGAATGTCACAAATCCACTAACACACTCCTACACGGAAACCAGTTGAATTCGTAGTACTCGTTTACTCGTTAAAGAAGATTTCCGACAAATCGACTCGAGAGATTCGTAAACGCGAAGTAAACACTGATCTCTTACCCAAGTGCATCAAATGACGTCAACCAGATTGCAACCGAAATAGCAAAAAATAAGCTAATAAGTATCGAAACTGATTCGTAATATCCTGGATCAAAGATGAGCAGAAAGTCGGAAGATCTTCCAGAAGAAACTAATTATACAACCGCGTATCGTGATTCAGAATGGTCCAAAGTCTTCTCAATTTCTCTGAACACACAAATCGACTCTTGGAAATCCCGTTAATCGCCTAGTTTTTTCCTCCACGTCGACAATGTTACTTCGAATAGAATCAGCATGTGCATATCGTTAACTCGCAAGTTCATCGTACTCGCCTGGAATCTTATTGAATCGATAACACGTCTGGTATCTATTACGAAAGTTACATACGCGCGGTGTATTACAAAAGCAAGGAAACACAGAAAGTCAATCTTCGTTGTTTCCTCCAGATAACACTTAACGAAAGCATTAGTCGATGAAATCGTTCTTATGAATCATTCAACCTTGCGGACACTGTATTTTTCATACGTCTACTGAGGCATTGTAACTGCGGAGTAGGTAATTTAATGTTCCGCCGCGGGCTAATTAGCATTCCACGCTGGAATTTATTCTATAGGTAACATCTTGTACGCACAATAACGACACGAGCCTAACTATCGACATACATATGTTATCGACGTAGCGCAAAAATCCACGGAGATATTCGATTTTCTTCGATTAACACTTCAGGTTCCGGGGACGCGCCATTTTGACGCACTCCGAATTTCACGGGGAAAATTACAGAAACCGTTTACGTTACTCTCCTACCATTTGCGCTTATTCTAAATTTTATACAATTATATAATATCGCATAGTGTCATTTATAAGTTAACAGCGCATGGTACGTTGCTTTTAAATGAAATAAGTAATTTTTTTAAAGAAAATCTGCGGTTCCGTGCACGCTTTAATTTGACGAGTGAGAAATTTAGAAATTTTGCAGCAGCGGTTCAAAATGTACTATAAGTGAGCCGTTGGAAACTTGGGCAGCGAAAATTTGACGAGTGAGAAATTTAGAACCGTTCTTCAACCCTTTCGCTACGAGCGTCTTTTCTGCCGAGACACTCGCGCCATAAGTGGCATCAGCGGCCGGATTTGCGCCTTACTGCAACGAAAGTTGAATTGATAGTGTTTCCTGATAAAAAAAACTTTCCTCGAAAGAGGACATTTATTGGCAATATCGAGCTCTCTCTAACAAATGATATCGCAGAAAATATTGAGACTGCAAGTCAAGAGAGAGATACAGAACGAGTAACTATAGTCGTATGTCAATGGCATTTTATGGAGAGCGACTATAGTCGCCCATAGTAGCGAAAGGGTTTCTTAACTCTTTGATCTCCAAATTTTTTTAAAATTTTCTTTTCAATAACTCCCTAGTATTCTATGAATTTTATTTAAAATGCACTTCGAAAGACATTCGGTAGATAGGAACGAATTTAAACAATTTTTTTACCAATTACATTGAAAATAACATTTAGGGTTATATGTATGTGCACCTACTGCTCATCCAGGTAAGAAAAATATTGCAAAATACAGGATGTCCCGTAACTCCTCGAACACCCGGAAATGGGGGTTGCTGGGATGATTCTGAACAACTTTTTCCTTTACCAAAATGTTGGTTGAAGCTTCGTTTTTGAATTATTAACGAAAAACACTGGCCAATCAGAGCGCGCGCTCAACCACGAGAGCGTTGGCTCTCGACCGCGCTCGATCGTGGTCGTGAACAAACGCATTGGCACAGCCTGGGTATCGAGGGATGCTTGCGGCAAATGTTACATCGTCGTAAATTAAGAATAATGTGGAATTATTCGTTATTCATAAATAACAAATAAACTATTAAGTCGTTTAATAACTGTGTTCGATACTTTTATTCGTTATCCGAAAGGAATAAACTGTTTTATTACTTATGAAAAACTTAGAGAGAGATACAGAGTGATACTATAGTCGCTCGTCGTATGTCTGTGGCATTTTATGAAGAGCGACTATAGTCGTCCATAGTAATGAAAGGGTTTTTAAAGAAAATCTGCAGTTTCGTTCAGGCGTTAATTTGACCCGTGTCCGTAGAGATAGATACATAAGAAATGTCCCTAAACCTAGTGTCAACGGCGATCTTTCATCGAGCGTGTCGCCACGGAATAATAAATTTTCATACAAAAGACAGAAAGAAAGAAGGAGGTTTATTTGAATATCCAACAGACCCGCAGACGAGTTCGTTATTCATCGTAGGCGTTACATTCGCGAAATATAAATGTTTTCCGTATCCGAGGACCGACTCGACGCGCATTTCAATCGATCCCTCGGCCAAAGCTGTGGAATTTTTTTCGTGATGTAAAACGTGACTGGAGGAACCGTGGGTCAAACCAGACCACGGAAATCCAATGATTCACGGTGTGGTATCGTTGAAATCGTACAATTGTTATTCGGCTAACAACATGCTTTCCCTAAGCAGCAACATTATCTGTTTAAAGGATACAACATGACTCAGCCGCGTATCGGCTCACAATTAGCATGTAAATTTATTCGTAAAACAGTGCACGTTAAGCAAGTACAAACGTTATCTGGAGAAATTTCAGATCGTTTCAATGGTTGTTAACCCTTTCGCTGTAAAGCAAGTACAAACGTTATCTGGAGAAATTTCAGATCGTTTCAATGGTTGTTAACCCTTTCGCTGCTGACAGCTCGAATGTAACGCTCTGGCTGTTTACGACTGAGTTACAGCGTTGATAGTCGTGCTACGTATTTCGTTAACCAAACATTTTGTGTTTTATATTTGCGAAATAAGTAAGGTGTAGATACAGTAAACTCCCGTGTAACGCGGTTGTAGCTTCCCGTGGACCGCAATTCTTTCGGTAACGCTCAACTAAAGTAGATTTAATTTTGAAATGCGGGCAATTCTTGTATTTCATTGTTTGCCGCGTTGGACGAGGAATCGCGTTACATGAAAGCAGTAGTCTTTGGCGCGTTATACGGGGGTCTGTTGTGTAAAGAAGAAAATGTGAATACGAAGTTCGATTATCACTGTTAATTATGTCTTATTAAATGTAAGTCTATTGGCGCCGATAAGAATTAATTTCCTTCTAATCTTGGAAGGATATCCTCCCGCTTCTCGGTGCAATTTTGTTCTGAATCGGAGGATCCTCTTCGTACCCTAATTTATCTGCCACATTTGGTCGAATTTTCTGCTGCAGTCGTGTCCTGTCGTAGTGATATTTGTACGGACTCTCGTCTTTAGGAGCGATTTTGTTTTGTATCGTGATTTGAGTGTTGGTTGGCCGAGAACCGGAATATGTACCGAATCCAGCTGTGATTCCGTGCCATTGGTAATTCGTGTCCTCTTCTACGTTCTCGTGGACCTCGTAGGTGTTCTGATGGTTGTTCATGACACCTTGACCACCTTGTATACCTGAAAATGTATTTCCTGGAGAATTTGGGAAGTTGTTATTTGGTGTAGAAGTGAATTCTTTCCGAGCGGATTCGCATGATTGATCCGATGTCACCGAGGTTCGATCGCGATTGCAAAAGGTAATCGACAGTAATGAAGAAAACATTTCTAAACATCTTCTCTAAAAATTGTACATTCCGTTCCACAATCTGAGTCGCTGATAACCCAAATTTAGCAGCAGATGCGACGTAAAATAAATAAAATAAAATAAAAATAACGAAAATTATTTCGATGATTTTTTATGAGTTTTCAAATGTCGGAAGAAATTCTTTTCTGCACCGAATAGACGTGTATAGTGAGATGTGTACCATGATCTCCATGTCCACCATGACTTCCATGTCCACCGTGACCCCCATGTCCACCAAAAGCACCTTGAATACCACCTACAATTCCATGATTGCTAACAAGAACAGACAAAGCGTTCAAACCAAACGGATCTTTCTGGTTAAGCTTGAAAGTCCTCTTCGTCTGCTGCTGTTTGAAACGTTGCTGCTGATGTTGCTCCCTCTGCAGCCTCTGTCGTTCTTTCTGGGCCATCATCCTATCTCTTCTATCCTGTCGCAGTCGTTGCACTTCGTCGGCACTCAGACGCCTCTGACCGGTAGTTGCCTTCACCAGATTTCCAACCGCCTCCAGAGTTGAAACAGGGATCTACAGAAAAGGAAGATTTAGGAGAGATAAAAGAAAAGTTTGAATAGAGTAACGCTCTGGCTGTTTACGACTGAGTTACAGCGTTGATAGTCGTGCTACGTATTTCGTTAACCAAACATTTTGTGTTTTATATTTGCGAAATAAGTAAGGTGTAGATACAGTAAACTCCCGTGTAACGCGGTTGTAGCTTCCCGTGGACCTCAATTCTTTCGGTAACGCTCAACTAAAGTAGATTTAATTTTGAAATGCGGGCAATTCTTGTATTTCATTGTTTGCCGCGTTGGACGAGGAATCGCGTTACATGAAAGCAGTAGTCTTTGGCGCGTTATACGGGGGTCTGTTGTGTAAAGAAGAAAATGTGAATACGAAGTTCGATTATCACTGTTAATTATGTCTTATTAAATGTAAGTCTATTGGCGCCGATAAGAATTAATTTCCTTCTAATCTTGGAAGGATATCCTTCCGCTTCTCGGTGCAATTTTGTTCTGAATCGGAGGATCCTCTTCGTACCCTAATTTATCTGCCACATTTGGTCGAATTTTCTGCTGCAGTCGTGTCCTGTCGTAGTGATATTTGTACGGACTCTCGTCTTTAGGAGCGATTTTGTTTTGTATCGTGATTTGAGTGTTGGTTGGCCGAGAACCGGAATATGTACCGAATCCAGCTGTGATTCCGTGCCATTGGTAATTCGTGTCCTCTTCTACGTTCTCGTGGACCTCGTAGGTGTTCTGATGGTTGTTCATGACACCTTGACCACCTTGTATACCTGAAAATGTATTTCCTGGAGAATTTGGGAAGTTGTTATTTGGTGTAGAAGTGAATTCTTTCCGAGCGGATTCGCATGATTGATCCGATGTCACCGAGGTTCGATCGCGATTGCAAAAGGTAATCGACAGTAATGAAGAAAACATTTCTAAACATCTTCTCTAAAAATTGTACATTCCGTTCCACAATCTGAGTCGCTGATAACCCAAATTTAGCAGCAGATGCGACGTAAAATAAATAAAATAAAATAAAAATAACGAAAATTATTTCGATGATTTTTTATGAGTTTTCAAATGTCGGAAGAAATTCTTTTCTGCACCGAATAGACGTGTATAGTGAGATGTGTACCATGATCTCCATGTCCACCATGACTTCCATGTCCACCGTGACCCCCATGTCCACCAAAAGCACCTTGAATACCACCTACAATTCCATGATTGCTAACAAGAACAGACAAAGCGTTCAAACCAAACGGATCTTTCTGGTTAAGCTTGAAAGTCCTCTTCGTCTGCTGCTGTTTGAAACGTTGCTGCTGATGTTGCTCCCTCTGCAGCCTCTGTCGTTCTTTCTGGGCCATCATCCTATCTCTTCTATCCTGTCGCAGTCGTTGCACTTCGTCGGCACTCAGACGCCTCTGACCGGTAGTTGCCTTCACCAGATTTCCAACCGCCTCCAGAGTTGAAACAGGGATCTACAGAAAAGGAAGATTTAGGAGAGATAAAAGAAAAGTTTGAATAGACAGAATGTACAACGATGTTTCTGTACCTGTAAGACACTGTCGATGGCCTGAGAATTTTCTGGACTGAAATTCTGCGCCGCAGCTGCAGTCTGCCTGATTGCTGTGATTGGAATCTGAAGTAGAAAGTTCATTCGAGTTGCAGCATCGGAAACACGACGAGGAAGTGAAGTACTCACGTTGAAAATGCTGTCTATTACGTGTCCACCTTGCCCGGAATCATCTTGGCGCTTTGCACGCTGAAGAACGAGCTGAAATTTGAAATTCAAAGTGGAGAGTGCGACGACGCCACTCTCGGCTGTGTCGCGAAGTGTGATAAGCTTGTCGCAGATAGGGAAAACGCTTATTACGAATTCGTAAATGCGGGTAAGAATATTGCGCTCTTCCAACAGCTTTCACTTTTCTGCATATAAAGAGCGCCGCGCGATTTTCTGCAGGATCTTTGCCTTGTATAAAGGTCAGCGCGCACTCTGTACAGGCGTCGCTGTTATTTTATTGGACGCGTGGCTGGGATTTAAACGCGTTTTGATAGATTGGACAATTTCTGGGTGAATATTTCGAGATTTACGAAGGCGAATCTGAAAGTTTTTATTTGAAAATTCGAATTTCAATGTTCGTTACTTAAAAAGTCGAATTCAGAGATTCAAATTTAAGTACCTAATTAATTTAAATATTCAAATCCTGAAATTTAAATTCAGCCAACGAAATTCGAAGTATTTAAAACTTAAATTCAGTCGATGAAGTTCAAAATATTCGAATTTGAAGTTGAACCAATGAAATTCGAAATATTGAAAATTTGACTCAGCCAGTGCCATTAAAGTGAGCACCGTTTGAATTGGACCAATTAAATTCGAGATATTTGGATTTCAAGATTAACCAATGAAATTCAAAATTTTGAAAATTCCAACTCAGCCAATGCCATTAAAGTGAGCACCGTTTGAATTGGACCAATCAAATTCGAGATATTTGAATTTCAAGATTAACCAATGAAATTCAAAATTTTGAAAATTCGAACTCAGCCAATGCCATTAAAGTGAGCACCGTTTGAATTCGACCAATCAAATTGAAATTATTCGTGTTTGAAAATAATCCAATGAAATTCGAAATATTGAAAATTCGAACTCAGCCAATGCCATTAAAGTGAGCACCGTTTGAATCCGACCAATAAAATTCGAGATATTTGAATTTCAAGATTAGCCAATGAAATTCGAAATATTGAAAATTCCAACTCAGCCAATGCCATTAAAGTGAGCACCGTTTGAATTGGACCAATTAAATTCGAGATATTTGAATTTCAAGATTAGCTAATGAAATTCGAAATATTGAAAATTCCAACTCAGCCAATGCCATTAAAGTGAGAACCATTTGAATGCGATCAATAAAATTCAAATTATTCGAGTTTGAAAATAAACCAATCAAATTGAAATTATTCGAGTTCGAGAATTAACCAATGAAATTGAAACTACTCAAAATTTGACTTCTGCCAATCAAATTAACCCTAGTGCGGTCTTCGGGTCTTTTTCGACCCACTGTCTTCTTTATTTTTAATATCTTTCGCTGTTATCAAGTTTTCTTAACATTATATTAAAAGTTTATTGTGTAGGTTCATATGACGTGCTGATAAAAATTGTTACTCACAATTATCAAAAATAAATAAGAAATGTCATTGGGTCAAAAATGACCCAAAGACCTTAAGTGTGTAGTTGAACAGAAGAACGCACTAGGGTTAAATAAATTTAAACTTCTACCAATGAAATTCAAACTGTTCAAGATTTAAAGTCACCCAAACAAATTCAAACTATACAAACTTAAGTATTCAAATACGAAAATTAAATTTTACATTCAAATTTAAAATGTAACACAAACACAAAAAAACTCACAGCCTCAGATGCCACCAAACACATGACTACGCCAAAGAAAACGCAACTGGTCCCAGACATTCCTCTACCTTCTCCGTGCATCGCTCTATCGATCTTCGCGTTCGACAAACTGCAAGACAGGTCGACGATCGTCCGATCTATAAGGGTAACTGCAAGATCCCACTCGGACCATCGACCAATCGCAATGCTGAATCGTAAAATCGAACACCTTTATTGACCACCGGGCCTTTCCATTTCACGTAATCTTCTTACGCACTTTTCAGCCCCTCCTTTGTCCTCTTTTACCCAACGACCGTGTTACTTTTACGCGTACGCAATGGCGTAGACGGAAAGTTACTCGCGAAAGCAACAATGAAATACACAAAGAAGAAAGACTATCAATCGACAAACAAAGAAGAAAACAGAAGAAAATTGAATCCGCAAACGATCGGATCTCCTCTTCGCGACCCACGAAAGAGGACTGATCGTTCAATCCTCGATCCATCTCGATGATCCACATATAAGGGCGAGTCCAGGGATCCCACGCCATGCTTCGACCAATCGAAACCGACCAAACGTGCTTTCTACTCACCACAATCCCGCTTCTCGAATTCGCGTCTGATCTTTACTGTCCCATTTCACTGATCACGCCGCTATTATATATTCCGGCGTGGGTCGTGCGGGACCGTATTACATAAATATCGGACGATGCTCCTTGCATGTGACGTAACCGTTGCCTGTATAACACGCCATTGATCTTTTGTCTGTTTTGAAACTGGCCTCGGGTGTCCTTGGTTCCGTCGCGAAACTGTGTTCCATCGGTTTGATCGAATTATTTCGGTGCCGCGACAATTTTACGATTAAACAGATTTTAACCCTTTACTTTACTGAAAAAGAGAACATTTTTTTTTGAGTGGGATCGTTATTTCCCTGGGTTGTCATTCAAATATTTTTCGCGTTCGGTAGGAACTTGTGGGATGGCTTGATACAACGCGTCGACTCTGTTCCTTTGTTCGTTTGCTTTTCCACCACCACACGTGTATGTTCTTTTGGAGATTTTCCAATGAAAATGGTTAGCTCATCGAGGATTTTCGCGACGAGACACACAACCTTCTTCTTACGCCTCTTAACCAGGGGTCGTAACTTCGAAAATGTCGGGATCCCTCGAGAATTATGAAGTTATAAAAAATAGAAGATGGAACGAAAATGGTAAGCAAATATGTGATAGATATGATTTATTTCATATTTTCGTGTCGAAAACCGTACTGGTATCAACCGAATGATTATTAATCTTAATAATGCCATCTCATGTATTGATCTATTTAATTCAACACCTCCTTCTCTTAAACGATCACTGCTTAGCTTGCCACTTAAATGACTTCAACCACTTTAATCACCTTAATTTTTAGTCATATTTACTTTATACAAAATTCCTACCTCACTATGTCACTATTATCGTGTATCATACTTCTAGCGACCAGCTACAGCGAAGAACATTTGGCGAGCAGGCTACCAGCACGGTTTATGACGTGCGCGCTAGAAAAGCTATCTTTGAGGAAACCGTTTTTAGCTTATTTAATTTCTAGAAATTCGACAATGCATGACGGCCTCAATAGCAAATAGCCGCATCATAAACCAAGGGTTTCCGAGAGGTCCGCCGTACGAGGCCGAGATGCCCGGACCGGCAAGTCACGAGTACTTGACCTGGAGGAAACTCAGCACTGCGGTCCCCGAAAAAGCGCGCCAAGGGCGCAAGGGACACGCAGCGACTCAGAAAGAAATTACTTGATTGGTTAACACCGATGCGACGGGTTAACCAGTCAGGGATGATTAACACGCAACCGAAAGGCAGTAGGAAAAAAGCGAGGCGACAGGAGAGCAATCTTGCACGGACCTCCAGAGCCGTCAGCCAACGTTTAATAAAGATCTCACTACAACCGTGTGGGTACATAGCGTAACCCTAGTCACGCCTTATTATTCGTAACCACATTACTTCATACTAATGGGCCATTTCCCGTATAAATAAATAAATAAATAAATAATAGTTTCGTTCTACTTTCGGGAATCCCGACAATCTCGAATCACGAGATATGTACTTTCGGGAACCCGACATTTTCGGGTCCTCGCACACCCCTGCTCTTAACCCTTTCGATACTAACGATGACTTTAGTGGTCCATCGTTGGACGCTTTCTGTGAACTAGCGGCGACTATAGTCGTTCACAAGGAGTTCGCAAAAAATTGCGAATTTAAAATCGCGAGATTTAGGCGATCGAGTGGCGGCCTGGTCTTTGTCACCCAGATCAGTCACCGAAAGTTTACGAGAGATAAAGACATGAAGAATCGAAATAGGTAAAATACCTTAGCCTTTTCTAGCTTGAAATGCTGCGCTGTAGCTCTATCCGTGGCGATTCGAATCTGAAGTAGAATGTTCGTTTCAGTTTGAAAGTGTTGAAAATACGACGAGGAAATTGTGTACTCACGTTGTCACGCCGCCGTGGCTACGCCGCTCTCGGTTGTAGGAAAAGTGTGATAAACTTGTCACAGACGAGGACCACGCAGTTGCAAATTCGTAAATATAGATATGAATATATCGCTCCTCGACAGCTTTCACTTTTCTACATATAAAGAGCGTCACACACGATTTTCTTCGTGATCCTTGTGTTGTACAAAGGTCAGCTGTCTTCTAAATAGGCGTCGCCGCATTTTTATTGCTTGTGCAGTTGTGCTCCGAACGCGGATCGGAAGCTTTGTGAGGCAATCTTCTTTCAAAAATGCAAATTTTACACTTGAAATTTGAATACAGGTAACCCCCATGTAACACGGTACGAGAATTGGGGACAACCCTCGTGCAACACGGCATCCTAGAACACGGTTTGAGAATTAGGGAAATACCCGGACAATATGGAACATAATAGGAGCTTTTAAAAGCCACAGATATTTCATTTTTTCATTATTGGAACTTACCCCCTTTTTTGTACCAGTTCTCTGTTTCACATAACACGAATTCGCATAACGCGCCATTTTTTAGGAACCTAACAACCGTGTTATACGAGGGTTATTTGTATTTGGAAATTCGAAATTAGGGATTCAAGCTTAAATACTCAATTCTGAGAATTCGAAATGTTCCAATTGAAATTATTGACAGTCGAATACAGAGATTCAAATTTGAACGTTTTAATTGAAAAATTACCAATTACAAATTGAAGAATTAAATCTGAGAAATTCAAAATTATAAGTTAAAGAATTGAAACTGAGAAATTCCAAATTATAAGTTAAAGAATTAAAGGTGAGAAATTCAAATTTAAGAATGGAAATATTCGAATGAAAAAAAGAAGTTGGAACAGTGTCTCTAGCTACGTGTTCACAAAACATCACTATCCTCCGTCTGCAAAGGGTTAATACTGTCTGAGAATACCTGTAGCACTGTTTCGCGTCAGCGCATTTTGGGTTAACTAGATAACCCCTGCTCTTCACTCTCTCCTTTCACTGATTACGCTACCGTAATTGCGTCTGGATCGCAGTGGATCATATTTACACAAACATCGAACGTAACAAGTGCCATTGATCTTTCGTGCCTCTTGAAACAGGTCTCAGGTATCCTTAGATCCTTAGCAATATTCTCCGAACTATACTCTATCACCTTGTTCGAGTTATTTTGGTTGCACGACAATTCGAGTTATTTCGGTTCCACGACAATTCGAAGCTGACAATTTTCATACGAATTTCGGTTTAATTCCAATGGTAAAAAATAGTTAATTACACGTTCTAGTGGGTGAAACTTAGATCATAAATAGCTATCGTAAGCTTCAGTCTTTGGCTGCAAGAAGAATGTACACTTGTCGAAAGAAGAGTCTCAGCGTTCTCAGTATGCATCTGGGTTGTCTTTCAGATAGATTCCTACTTGGTTTCCTAGATCCTTTTGGAACTCTTTCACCGTAATGTCTGATTGCTGGAAACAGACATTCTGGTTTTTGAGTCTGGATGACACAGAAATAATTAATAGTGATAATATATAATATTAATAATAAATGAATATTTTCATTTACAGAACTCCGTAAACGGTTCAATTTTTCTTCAACAATGCCGCGGCAGAAGTTTCACGAATTAAACAAAAATTGAATACGTTTCACGGAAAAGTAATTTACCACTTTCCCCGAAATTTCCTCGAAAAATATTACTAATAAATTAATATTTTCACATATCTGTCTTGAAATAAATTTACAAAACTATAAACAGTTCACAAATCCCATGACAGAAGTTTCACGAATTAAACAAAAATTGAATACGTTTCACGGAAAAGTAATTTACCACTTTCCTCGAAATTTCTTCAAAAAATATTAATTATAGTGAAAAAGTTACGATTGAAAGAAGAGACGCGAAATCACCTCGTACCCATGTCACACGCGGCTCAAGACACGAATGTGTTAACACTTTATCTACCGCTCATAGTTGGGCACGAATTCGTCGCTATTATCAGCCCCGATTTCGACTATTTCGCGGAAATAGTGTGTAGTATCGGGGCCTCTATACCCGAAAATAGGAAACCTCGAAGGGAGAATAGAGACGGAGTGGTTGGCGTAGCGCACAAAGCTTTGGCTTGCTAAGCCGAAGGTCCCGGGTTCGATTCTCGTTTGGTCCCTCAAACTTTTTCCGTCGTTGGTTCCTACAAATGGTTGGAGGCTCGCCCGGGATGGAGGTATCTACGACTGCACGAAGCCAGGCGCTGTGAGATGAAAACATGTGAGAGGGTTGCACGTCTCTCAAAAAAGAGTTGAGAAACAGTTTCGGCTGAGAGTGCCACTGTGTGGGGAAGTGTATCCGAGGGGTGTTGAGTTTGTTGAGTTGTGTTGCACTGAGGACAGGATGGCCGAGTGCAGTATCGAGGCCTCCATACCCAAATAGGAAACCTCGAAGGGACAATAGAAAGGGAGTGGTTGGCGTAACGCACAAAGCTTTGGCTTGCTAAGCCGAAGGTCCCGGGTTCGATTCTCGTTTGGTCCCTCAAACTTTTTCCGTCGTTGGTTCCTACAAATGGTTGGAGGCTCGCCCGGGATGGAGGTATCTACGACTGCACGAAGCCAGGCGCTGTGAGATGAAAAATGTGAGAGGGTTGCACGTCTCTCAAAAAAGAGTTGAGAAACAGTTTCGGCTGAGAGTGCCACTGTGTGGGGAAGTGTACCCGAAAGTGTTGAGTTGAGTTGTGTTGCACTGAGGACATTCAAGGGCGAATGTCAATTCAGGATGGCCGAGTGTAGTATCGGAGCCTCCATACCCAAATAGGAAACCTCGAAGGGAGA